GGATGGCGAAGTGCTGGAACGGTGCTGGCATTTCGCCACATGTACGCGGGGCCAGGGCCATCGCCACACCAGGCTCGAAATGTGCAAAATGGGAATGAACTTACCGCTAGAACATGGCAGATGCACCTGGTCCTTTTTAACATTTTGAGAGTGGTGTCACAGTGGTGAGATCCCCGAAATTCACACCACACGGGCTCGCCGGCACTACGGGACAAGCCAGGCCTACTGCCAGACKCCCTATCMGAGTACATCCCCCTTATGCCCTGCGGTGGTGCCACCTTCCGTCTTTTACCCAGACTCCAAACCAGCTCACCCAACCTCGCCCAGAAAGGATTTTTATCCCTTTGTWACGTCCACCTACGCCCAGCCACCATGACTTTCCCCGGGTAGCACAGCTTCCGTAGCTCCTCTACCAAGGTAAGCATGTTTAGGGCCTTGTTCCACTACTTGCCATCTGCCATGAATCGTGGCAAGTGCTGGCGAGGCCAAGAACATGAAAATAGTGGCGGAAAACAACGCATGGTTCCATATGGTCGCCGCCGCCACAAAAGTTGTGGTAACCGTCCCGGCCTCAACACTGGACTGTGGTGGGTGGCGGAGCGGTGGAATGGCGCTAGCGTTTCGCCACATGTGTGTCTCGGGAGCTTGGGACCAGAAATTCACACCACACGCGGCGAGAACTCGCCAGCACTACGGGACAAGCCAGGCCTACTGCCAGGGCCGCGGTGTTAGGGCCGGCCGCCACACGTAGCAGTTCGCGGAGAGGTGACCAGTGGCGGCCTCCACGAAAGCCCATTGCAGGTCTGTGACGCCGAAACCTCAAGCCCAACGCGACTTCCTGATCGGAGTGGGATGGGGGCCCAAGAGTGCGAAAAAGGGGGTGTGCCAAGGATTTTAGGAAAGTGGGGGTGGGGTCCCAGGTCGGAACTGAGATCTCCTGTGGCAAGGTTTAGGGACAATGGTGCAAAATGGTGCGCACGGATCGTATCTGGCGTTTCAGCTTTCAGGCAGTGGGCTAGGGCCTCTGCCAGTGGCGTCGCCACCGTTGGTCCCTTGTCTGGTGGATTGATAGGACACCGTGGCGGTCGTGCTGCTGTCGGCGCCGCTCRTAACAAGCTTCGGAATCCGGCGGGGCAGGCCGTAAGCGGAGGMTGTGCAATCGCTGCTCAKCTTCGGTTCGAGTTCGGCGGATAAATCCTGAAGCTTGGCGTGTCTGGTACTCCTGGCAATCCTCGCACGGTGGGCTGGGCCAATAGCGAGTTATGGAATTCCATGKTACCACTGTGAGCTGGTGATATGGAAGGAGGAGGTGAAAGGGAGRGAAACTGGTAGTAATAATGACGAAGCCCGGGGATATGTAGTATTGAGTATTGTCCGTATCTGGGTAGTCGGGGCCCCTAGGGTCGCGGGTTATAGCCCAGTGGAAATCCCCCGCGCACACTCGGTCGTTCTCTGTCAGACAGGGGAATTCCGGGTTTCTCAAGTTTCCCCGTCGTTTGAGTTGTTCGTCATCCCAATACTCGCGATACTCCGGATCCCTCAGGCTTTCACGATCGGTGATCCAAAAGGGACTTTCCTCGGCCAAATCCGGCTAATGAATTCAACTTCCTGCATCCTTCTGATAAATTGGAGGTCGGCTCATGCAAACGCGCGCGTAAACCGCGACTTGGTTTTTCGAGATCGCGGTCGTGCGTGAGGGTGCGCACGAGCGACAGTGAATCAAGCTCGGGTTTCCTGTGTCGCGATAGCGATTGTATCCTACATGCATYTATCCTACCCATGCCATGTAGGGTGAGATCCAAAKCTTTCATTCATATCCATACCATTCACGTGACAAAAGGAGAAAAAAAAGGGGGAAAGGACAATCAACATCTCACAGCGTTCTTGGTGGCCTTATGACGATAAAAAAAAMMMMAAACATCCATAGCCGGTGCTTTCGATCAGATGCAGATGGATGATAGAATTAGACAAGCATCRCAAAACARGATCGGGAATCCGAAAATATCACTAATGAAGAAGAGTTCACACTCGTTCATGCATACATACGAGTCAAAAGGGACAGAGAGGATTTGAGGCGATTTACAAGGAAAGGTCCGAAAAGGCTGCCGCAAAAATCGGCCATAGCTGAAGCCAAAATTATATAGACGAGCAAAAGAAAGAACCTCATCTCACACCCTCAAATGCTCTCTCTCTCTCTTTCTCCGCTCCACACTCCCAATGCGGGCAGTCCGCCGCTTCGCATCAACATAGAGTTGTCACCCCGCTTGGTTCGAGCATGCAAGTCAGGTTCACCCGTGCGCCACAGTCCGTCGCGGCCCCGCACGTCAACCCCGCGTACCTGACACCAGCTCGTCGGATCGCCCAACTCTCGGACTTACTCACCTTCCAAACTTGCTCGTTAGCCGACCCTCACTGATTGCGCTAACCTTGAAATTCTTAGAGAGCAAACTAATCACGCTTGCAAAATTTATAGCATGCCTGCGCGAAAGGTACGGGATTAACTCCAGGTGGACAAGAGGAGAAGAGAGGAAGTGCCTACGTCTTGCATGGCCAAGCCGCGGCCTGGGGGTCGTAGCCACACTCCACGCATCGATCCAGTCATGCAGGCGCTCCGACCAATTAAAACAGAGTATGTAAGGCGAGGAAGAAGGAGAAGGCGGGCAAACACGAGGGAATCAAGAAGGAAGACAGTTACAATTGCGCCCGCCAAAAACGACAGTTACACAAGAGTAAGGGCGCGATCCAGTCAGAGCCCCGTTTCCGGCGTGGCAAGATGCGAGCAAGCGTGGCGCAACAAAATTCAAAGTACCTAAATTCCTAGCCTAAGTTCTCATTGCAAAAGGAAATTTCGAAAAAGCAGAAAAGAAAAACAATTTCGCGAGCCCGTGGGGGCTCAACATCAGTTGAAAATTCAAAAATGATATTCCCGCACGATGATCGCGCCAAAATTCCTAGTGCTCACAACAGAACAAGAAAAAAGTTATGGTACAGTAATTTCTCGCGCTCGCCAAGGTGCGGCTACCCAACCGTTGGCATGGGATTTTCCCGACACCGATCCAACAACTCCCAACAGAAAACGAAAAGAAACGAGGACATCCATGCAAGTTGCCCGCCCGACCCATCTTCCCACAGTTCACCCATCCGACCCGTCGTATTTCCTCAAGCGACTTCGCGCAGAAAGTTGCCCGATAACAGAAAATAGTTTGTTACATATGTGATGCCTAGGGGGTTCCAATCTTGAGCAAGCTCTTGCTTGCTCTCTCATGAGGCACCGATCGGTTGGTCCGACGATCGGCCCCGAGATGACACGTGCCACTTAGCATAGGATCTGAGTGTGGAAGTCGTCCAACGTGGCATGCGTGCGCTCAACCCAAAACGTTGTTTGGGAATGGTAATCTGATAACGGATGCAGGAGGTAGTGGATGGACTTGTGGAAGGGGAGGTATGAAGCGGCGAATCTCCCTGTCGCTGGTGGGGATACGGGTGTAATGGATGGTGTGGTGGATGTGGGGGAATCGGGGGTGAGCTCGTTGATGAGGGAGAGAGGCGAGATAGCCAGGGTAGAGAGTGGAGAGGGTGCGCGAGGTGCAGCGCAGAAGCTCTCATAATTTTCACAGGCGGGAATTGTACCTGAGATGATACAATAAACTTCTATATTATTATATTCCCACCAGGTCGCGCTGAAGAGAAGGACATGGAGAGAGAAGAAGGCGACGAAGGAACGGGTGGTAGCATGCGGGACAACGGTGACGATAAGGCGGGTGGCGTAAAACTGGTGGAAGAGACTGGGCAGGAAGAGGCCCCAATGCACCATCCATCAGGGAACGGGGGTCGACCCAGGAGCTGGTGGGTTTTGAGGAAGTCAAGGGGACGGCGGGATAACGACCGGGGACGAAGCCCGATCGCCCGTATTTCCATGAAGGCGGAGGGTGGCTCATGATGGCGAAGAAGACGGAGCCGGGGATTCACTTCTTCTGCGGCGTCAGCTTCCTGATCCCTCCGTTGCGGCTCCATTGGATTCTTCGCGTGGCGGCTCCGGATTCAACGATGGATCGCCCAGCTGCAGCTGTGGTGGCGGCCCTTCAGATTCCYCGATCAGCCGCTTGCCCTTTGCTTTCTCTCGCCTTCGCGGAGTTTCAGCCTCCTCCTCTTCCTTGCTTYRTGGGGGATGGACGCTTGGTTCCTTCGATCCTCTTCCCTCTTCCTCCTCCTCAGACCCAATGYAGTCGGGATCGTCTTGATTAGTGCACGATTCTCCTTCCTCCGACTCCTCTCCTTCTTCTTCTTCTTCTTCRTAACTGGCTTCTATTGCGTTCCCTCGCMTGATGAAGGGGTCCCACAGTGTGAGATCGGTGACGTCAATCTCGAGATAGAGGCTCGGGGACGGGTAAAAGCAGTTATCTCCGTCCAGCTCCATACACCTGGACCACACCAGATGGGGCGCAAGCGTGCGAGTGAGCACGTCTGTCCTCGGCTTCTCGTCGCACCTCGAAAGAATATCGAGGGGCAAGTCGTTCACTAGCTGCGCCAAAAACACCAACAACTCRTCCGTGATTGCGTCCAGGTGGCCTTCCTCCACCTTGCCGAATAGTACTTCCAAGAATTCTCCTTCCGTACTCGTCCGCCAGGCTTTCACGATCAACAGTTCCACCTCGTCGTCCTCGACCTCACCCCCTTCGGCTTCTGGCGCTGGCTCCGCCCAATGRAACACGACATATACCAAACAAAAGTTGAGCTCTACGTAGGCGTCCCACCACTTGGTCCACTTGTCTTCGTCCAAGATTGGCATGTTAAGCTCCCGGATTCAGAAAGAGAGGGCGGGATTGAAAAACAGATTGCCAGAGAGTGGGGAGATCGGACGGGAGGTTGAAGAGGGAGAGACGATGACGGTTCATTGGGGCCACTCAAAGGGGAGAAGCTCCGGGAGAAGAATCTCCGGCGTGCTGCTGGAGGTGCGGAGGCGGAGGTCTATATCGTTTGTGGTCACGATCCTTTCCCCCTGCTAAGCCAGCAACTCGACCCATGTGGCTGTGATCTCCTCGACCGAGCCCCGCAATTGTCGAATCGTGCCGATAGACGTCCGCATGAATCGCCGAGTGCAGCGTTGTGATATCACCCGTGAAGGTAACAATGACGGATACGTGGCTGGCACCGGGCGATGACAGGCGTTGGAAAGCCGCAATCTCGGCCAGTACACGCATCRCCCTTGCGTGTACARAACGGAACTYTGTTGCTGCRTGGATGGCTGCGGTGCTGAAGAAGGCGGCGAATCGAAGGAGGTCGAGACTCAACCTAGGTCGCTTCACCAGTCCGATCGTCGCTATACAGCGTATACGCCCCCTCGAGGTTATCAAACACTCATTGATCACTTGCTCCGTCGAAAGACTCGTGGCGATGGAGGTGGAGTCGAAGACGATGGTTGAGAGGGGAAGGAGGATTCTAGAAAGTCGTCGTCCTCGTCTTGGCCGAGGGACAATGAAGACGATGGAGGAGAAAGGGAAGAGGGGAAAGGACGAAGGTAGGACACGTGTCGAATGATCGGACGAGCAGATTTACTYCCCGACACCTCCGGTGCAAGCCGTATCGTGTTCACCCCGCCTGGACCTAGCTAAAGCATGCGAAATCGCCCGATGAATCCTGGGGCTAGCTTGCCTTGGCGAGCACATTTCCTCACCTGCACCATGTCCCCTAATTTATACTGGGGCCGAGGCTCAACATTCCCATTTCGGGACTCATAACTCCAAACCTGTCTGCCGTGGGCCATTTTCGTCATCCGCTGTCTCTTTCAGGCTAATCGGGGGAGGACCCTTTCCATCAACTCTAGATGGCGTTGGGCCTTCTCCTTAACCGTTGCTCTAGTGGCCCGTCGCGGAAGGGTGATTTCATCATTTAGGCTCGAGAGGGCTACACAGGCTATATTATTGGTCCGTAATTGGAAGGGGGTTAGGCCGGTGGACTTGTGAGGCGTTCCCCGATGAATGGCCAGGATGTGATCTACGATATCATGTAAAGGCCTAGTATCTTTAGCGACGATATTTCACCGTAATGCGGTCTTAATTACTCGGTTCCCATTCTCGACCAATCCGTTCGGTTGCGACATATGCGGCGCAGTATTACGAATGGAGACTCCCTGTATGACCAGACTCCTCAGGACCTCCCCTCGGAATTCCGCTTCATTGCCCGTAAGTATTTCCTCGATGCCCTGATGCATCCCGAGGAAATGGTTGACATACAGCGCTATTTCCACCGTTTGTCTAATCTGACATGGGTAGGCCTCGATCCATTTTGAAACGTGGTCAATGAACACCAAGAGGATTGAATATTCACAGCTATTCACTCAAGGGGGCACGACGATATCCGCCGTATCCATGCTAACCCTTTGAAACGGTCGTTGGACTTCCGTGAGCACAATCGATTTAGGCGACTGAATCGACACTTTGTCAGCGGCGCAGACCAGACAATTTCGGACAATGAATTTAACATTGCCGCGAATATTGGACCAATACCATTCATTCTTGTCAATTGCCGCCTCTGTAATCCGTACGGCAAAGTGAGTTGCAGCCTCTTCGTGTGCCGACTTAACCCAGCCATTCCTTACGAATGGATGGGGCACGGCCATCCAAATCCCACTACCGTCGATCTTTCGTTTTTCCAACCGTCCGTCTTTCCATTGATAGCCCGTGCCCTCTCATTAGCCCTTCTACGGTCCTCCTTGGTGAAGTCTCGGAGGGGGTTCCCGACGACTGTGGCTATCAAGACGACATTTGTCCATACCTCGACCCTTTTAAACCTACGGGGCTTTTCTAAACCCTCCGACGTGGCTTCCAGAAAGCGAGCTTCCGTAGGAATTTTGTCGGATCAACACAAGGGACACAGCCAAGCTTTGTCCGAGTTTCGGTACTGAATGCAGGAACCATGGGCCCTGGAGACACAGTGCCGACAATCTACCCATTCGACCTACCCTTCCCCACTAGGACGCATAGAAACCGAATAAACTCTCGAAATTGATTCACATAAATAACAAAATTTATCGGGCAAGGAGAGAAGACACGAAGACGAAGGGGGAGACCGAGGGTCTTCGGAATTACCTTCATGCCCCGTTGCCATTGTGACTGCCAATCAGTTCTTAGTGGGTCGATTGAGGATGGCCACCTGTGCGTACGAGGGCTCGCCATTTGGTTCTGGCTCCTTCCACGGTGTAATCTCATCGCCCTTGGCCACCTTGTTGGTCCGATGTAATCGTGTCAGCGCGTCAACATTGTCGTGCTTTTCTGTCTTTTGGTGAACGATGTCAAAATCGTACTCTTGCAATCTCACAGCCCAACATCCAATCATGCCCGTGTAGTTGGTAAGCTTCTTGAGGGCCAGCAAGGGCTCATGATCCGTAACGAGGAGAAACTTTTGCCCGTCCAGATACAGATGGAAGTGCTGGATTCCCAGACAACCACGTAGCATTCTCCTTGTGGTGCCGAATTATTTCTTCTTTCGTCCGGTACCGTTCGGGAAGCATACTCGATGACGTGTTCGCGGCCGTCTTTCCCCTTTTGAGCCAGAATAGCGGAGATTGTTTCAGGCTGCCAGTCCGTAATGAGTATGAACTGCTTTTCAGGGGTCGGGCTGGATCAAAATAGACACCATAGCCAAGGCTTCCTTCAAGGTGACAAAGGTTTGCTGACATTCCGCGTCCCAATTCAGTGCCGAGTCCTTCCGTAGAAGATTCGTTAGAGGTCGTGCGATAGCAGCAAAACCCTTGATAAATTGTCGGTAGTACGAGGCCAGTCCCAGAAAGGCCCGGACCTGCCTCAATGTTGTAGGCGTGGGGGCCTCTTGGACAGCTGCAACCTTTCTCGAATACGGCCGCGAGCGCCCTCGCGTCAAGACATACCCTAGGAACGAGATTTCCGACAAGAAAAACTCACTCTTTTCCAGGGCAATTTTGAAGCCCGCATCTCGCAGCGCTCCATGTGTTCATTCGATATGTTGCACATGCCTATGAAACGATTCCGAATGCACCAGGATGTCGTCCATCTATACGATAACGCAAAAATTCACCATTCCCTTTGTCTGTCGAGTCTTGTTAACGAAATTCTGGAAGGTCATGTTCATCGCTCTTTGAAACGTAGCCGGAGCATTACAAATGCCCATAGGACATCGAACCCATTGCCACGTTCCTTCGAACAGTACGAATGTCGTTTTCAAACGGTCCTCTTCCTTCACCAATATGTGATGGAACCCATGGCGGATGTCGAACTTGCTAAAGTAGTTAGCACACCCAATTGCATCCATTTAATCATCAATCCGCGGGAGGGGATACACATCTTTGATCGTGATATCATTCAGTTTTCGATAATGGATGCAAATGCGAATGGATCCGGTCYTTTTASGGACYAAACCCACRGGGAAGGACAAYGGTCCRGTAGCGGGCTCGATCCAACCATTGGCCTCAAATTCTCTGATCCGCTCCAGAGCGGTTCATCTTTCRACTAACGAGTACCAATATGGTTCACAGTGAATCGCGAGTGGGTKCCAGTCTGGATCTCRTGCTGTATGACYCAAGATAGYCCTATGCCCGTGTCCTCTATACTAATCDCCYCTTGATATTCGGCTAGAATGTCTGCRATGAGTTTGTGTATCTTGTCCGGCACATGCAGTTCGTAGTGGCAGTCTCATATCGCCACYGGTAGTTRTTYTGCCCTGGTTGCATGAGTCTTTTTCGTAGSTGGGGATGATATAAAGGAATGGTCGRAACGCCAGGAGAATATCATGGCAACCATCRGAGCTTCCTCTTCCCTGATTGCCACGTGYTCCTCCGGGGTGATACCATCTTCGATATCCCGGAGGTCCACAACCTTCTCCTCRACTTTTAGTCCAATATCGAACGGGGTGAGGTCGTACAGCCCAGGGGGTTTCRGAGTCCAGTTYTCGACGCCTCCTTGTAGAAGTCGGATTTYTTTTCCTCTAGTGAGTAAMGAGYCGGGAGGAATTCTTGAGATATCGCAGAAAGACCGCTTRTCCCGRTAYCWRGWTAACAATGGGGTGGTTGCCTCGTATATGGTTCGAGGGGGTTCCCAAGAATCCGTCAACCGGGATATCTKAACCAGCGGTTCTCCCATGATCAGTGCTCTGGTTCGCTGCGYGTCCCTTGTGAAAACAAAGGTTTTCATCGCTTTCTGTCGAAGTGGGTAGCAGACTCTTTGTCGTGTTAGCTCGAGAATTTGAGGATCTGCATCTTTCTCGCTCTCGGAGGTGGATGATGATAGTGTGGGTTCGACGTCAGATTCGTCCGTGGATTCTTTCCACCTTATCATTCGCAGGATTTTGCCGGGTTCCTGTCGTTAAAGCTCAGGCATCGAAGTCGTCCGAGGGGTGAGGCACATCGGAATGATGTGCGGCCTTCCTCCAGTGTTGTGGAGGATGACTACTTGTCGTTCAAAATCCAACATGGCCCACAAGGCTGTGAGGGCTGGTAATTCGACGAGGACATCGTACGTGGTTACGTTTAGGACCACTACGTAGCCCAAGGCGTGGGCCTTACCTATTCGGAAGGCGACGTTTGCCATCCTCCCTGCGATTCGGATCTTACCTTCGTCAGCGGAAACGAAGTGATTGCCCTTCGCGAGAGGAATCACGTCTTTCCGTCGGCGGCCCCCTTGACCAACCGTCGGGAGATGGTGAGGACCTCAGCTCCAGAATCAAGGACCGCACTGTAGGAGTTCCCGCAGACTTCCACGTCGCACTCCGCGGATTTCCACAGTAGGGCTTTGATCCGTAGGAAGTGATCGTCTTTTCGAATAGGCCCATCCGGACGGGTTCAGAGGTGCTTGGCTCCTCCGGCTGAGGGTCTCTATCGAGAGTTTTTCCTTTTGCGGCTGCCAATTTGGCGAAGGTAAATCGCTTCCGGTTTGCCTTGCAGTGTTGTAGCATCTGGTCATTAGTCTGTTCGTAGATGGTCAGCAGGTGTCCGATAGGCAAGGGGATGCGGTGATCCAAGGCGCAAACTATATCTAGCACATCGATTTCTCCCGTAACGAATGAGGGTCCCGAGGGTTCCATTTCCCTCGGGGAGGGCCTCCATTCTGAGACTTCGTTGTTGTCGGGGGCAGGTTGGATGACACCTATTATGCGAAGGCCTGGGTATCCCAACGATATGTATTGATCGAGCGGGATGAGCTCCGCCACTTTTTCCGTGACCCCCGACGGGCTTACACTGCTGTCGGTTTCTTCTACCATTGTGGCCACCCACCCATGTCCGTTAGCAATCGGTGCTGCAGCCGCTGGCGCGGTTCTTGTTT